CGAATGTAATCCGAATGAAATGGATTTTTCCGACAGTCGAATGAAAATAATTGTTCATCCAACTATAAATCCTTTATAAATTCAGTTGCACTGTACTTTTTTCTCCCATTAACAACACTAGGTCGAATCCAAAACCTCCTGGAACGATGTACATGTTGGTTTACAAGCGCGGACATAAATATGGCAGTAGCAGCAGTAACAACAGCATCTTCATTACTCATTTTGTTTTGCTTGTTTCACTAAATATATTTTATTTAGAATCTTTCTCACTCACTCTCTTCTCACTCAACTACTCACAGTCGACTGATGAAATACATCCACACAGCAGTATTATGTGTGAACGAAGCAACTGTCGCCAATGTCGTTCGACATTGTCGATCGGCATAGTGTGGACGCCCCTTTACAATGAATCCGAAACGTTAAAGTAAGTATCTGAAATTTATTAGCTGTTTTTTGACAGATAAAATTATTGAATACAAGTTACTGATCCGCAATAGAACATTTTTTTTAGGATAACAATTTGAATTTACCCAGTAACTTATCGAGGTGAACTAAAAAGTTTGTATGTAAAGTTCTGCTAGTGTCGATAAAAACCCCATATTATTGTGTTTTCAAGTAATTTTGAAGAATATATGTCCAATAATTTTCCGAAAATGACTAGTTAAACAACTATTAATCAATAATTAGTACCTATCATTGACAATCAAATAGGTATGTTATCAAGAATTAACCGAATAGAAAAATAATGATGACTTTAATAAGTATATTTAATTTGATTTTGTAACTTTGTTACGTTCTTCTTCAAATTTATAATTTCCAATAACGTGTTAATTTTGATATTATTCATAGTTTTATCTAGATATAAACCCTCAAAGCACGTTAATGAAAAGACACACCTGAAAAACTATTGAAAACTTTTTACGAGTATGAGAAAATTCAATGGTTTCATCATAGATGTTCAGCAGGTATCGCTAAAATTTACTAAAGAATACTGAGATTTAAAATCTCTGTTTTTACTTCTTCAGTAGAATTATTGAGTATATAAGGTATCATTTTCATTAACTACATACGGTAAAAATGTACTGTTTTTATAGAATGTTGTGCTAATGCACATGATTTCTTGTTATGTGAAGTGTTTCTATCTTTAAGATAGAATAATTTCACATAAAAGTGATATATATGACGGAAAACTTANACTGTTTCAAAAAATGCCGCAGAATCACAATATCAGGAGACTTTAATGTAGATTTTTTAATATCCTCTTTACATGAAATTCATTGTCTCAAATGATACAAGAGATAGACAATATCTATCATAGATGACGTCCTCGTAAGGAAATATGCCATCGAACTTACTCATCTGTTTATCATTTATATAAGTAAAAGAAATATGTGACTTGTCACAGCATGTGAAACTGAAAAAAACTTTACTAGGAAATCTATCTTATGCTGAACATTTAGTCCTTTATAAGAAGCTTATTAGGCTAGAATATAGAAAGAAGGGAAAACGAGCTAAGAAAAAGACTTACGGGGGAGTTCATAAATAAATCTGATGATGTATTAATCGAAAAAATCACATAAAAAATTGACTTATCTACAGATTTTTTCAGCAAGTTTTCTGGTAATATTATAAATAACATAAAATGAAAAATATTGCAAAATTCAGACATTGGGGGCTAAGTGAATGATGAAACGTAAACATTTTTTTTGTAACTCAAGCTAAAAAACTATTCGACTACCTGAAAAATGAAAATCAAGGTAACATGGAATGTTTTGAATGAAGGTGACAGTGTTTATCAGATGAAACTTCTGACCACAATTACTTGATAACTTCTGCGAACACTTTGATTAAAGCATCTCTCATACTAGAAATACTAGTATTGATATCATCCATGTATGTATCCGTTTTTAAATATTTCAGCAACCATCTCGTATTTGATAAACATTGGATTATACTGTTCATGAAACAGGTGTTTCAAATATTTTTCAACCCATTGAACCTAAGAGTTTCGACTGAAAAATGTGTCTCTGATCTAATGTAACTGCTGATATTACGTTCGCCACTGCTGTTTTCTTGTGAGTAATCACGGAATCGATGATTCCTTCATTGGATCGGTAGGATAAGGAATTAGAAGCTAAACTGCCTAAAAGTGAGTTGGATATGGCAGGCGTTTTGAATTCTACGACTTGTTCATGTTTCTCTGTATCTTCTGATGGGAAATTATGGGGAGTATCACAAGGAATATGGGAGGTTTTATGAGGAAACAACCTTCCATCGTGACTAGGGTGTAAATAGGATTTGGAAATAAAGGAATGAAGAAAAATTTCATCCAGTGAATGTGACGATGGGATGGTGCCAAAAACAGAAGCTGAATTACCACGCTTTATAGCTAAACTAATTATTTGAATCAGAAAGGTGGTATATCTTTTTTCTTTAGTTTCTTCAGTCATTTTTCTGCCGATTGCATTAACAAACTTCAGAGATAAGTGCCCAAATACACCGAAAGTTTCTACAGCCACAGGATAAAATATAAAGTTGTTTCCAATATTTGAATATTTCTGCTGTTTTGCTTTCTCACTGGTTATGGCAGCAGCACCTGCATTTTTGGATGTTCCAACTAAATGAGACGGAGCCAATGTGTCCGCACATGTGAAATCCCAAACGGAATGGTAATAGAATGTAATCTATGAGTCTGCAGTAAAAAAAATGTTTGAAATGGGATTTGAAAGTTTTTTTTGTTGAGAATAGATTTCATGCTTCCAGGGATGGAGTTATACATTTTAGAGCCAATATAGAAGCAGCTCCTCTGTGATAGTGATTTTTTAAATAATGGGTGAGTAAGTAGTTTGCGCCCTCTGGTCATGTACTAATGACTGAGATGAGATGCTTTATCAATACCGAAATGATATGTTATAGAGGTATTTAAATAGAAAAGCTGACGAATACCCATACTCTGTGACGTGCTATTCAGATCGTCGGGAGAATATCTACGCGGTTTTGGTTATAATTATTTTCAGAAACCTTTTTGGTAGGATTTCAAGTGGATTGATGTATGATCGCCCAGCGGCGCCCTATACCTTTATTTCATATCTGATATGACTCTCTACAAGTGCAAGGTACAAGGTTTTCAAAGTTTTCCGATGGTAGGTACTCTTTCAGGTGTTTAGATTATCACATAGTTGATATGTCTATTCCATTTTAAATGCCGTTCTAGGTATACGCCTAAATATTGTATTTCTTTCACTGACTGGATACTTTGTATATCAACAATTATGTTTATGAAGGGTAGAAATTTAGTTTTTTTGAGATTCATGGTTAGGTTAGGTTAGGTCTAAAGTGAATGGGTCTATTCGACCCTCCACCGCTACCTGCAAGGGTTTATTGTGGCTCACACCTATTCACACTCGACCAAGTAAACCCAGCTTCTTAACGATTAGTTTGTATGGTGAGTGATCTTTCAGGTCAGATGATAAGAGTTCGGCTCTGTCGAACTCTAAAAACCTGATTCGATCCCCAACGGGGCAGGCACAAAGTACATGCTTTGCTGTTTCATCGTTAATGAGGTAGTCGGATAGTCAAGGTGCAAGATTCCCACCTTGATACCCGCGACAACCTTTCCATATATGACGTCAGCTACACCTGACGATGCCTTAGATTCAACCGTGCAGGGCTTTTTCGCCTCTGGTTTTGAATCATCACTTGAGTGCAAAAGTTTGCTAACCTGCTCATGAGGGGTTTGTTTCTTCACCTAAGACAGATTCTGCGTACGCCGCTTAAGAATTTGGTGCAAAGGTTTGGTTTTATAAGGTACCCCGCTCTTGAGGAGACGGCTCAGTCGTTTCCTGGCTGCACCACCAAACCTTTTTTTTTAGTAGTAAACTCGACATCCATATCCTCTGTAGACTCGCTCCTGAACTAAATTTACAGGGTCAGTTGGAGTGGTAAACTCGGCATCCATCTCCTCTGAAGACTCGCTCCTGAACTAAATTTACTGGGTCAGTTGGAGTCGCAAACTCGACATCCATCTCCTCTGTAGACTCGCTCCTGATCTAAATTTACAAGGAGGTCAATTAGAGTCGTAAGCTCGACATCCATCTCCTTTATACACTCAGCGTCAGAAATAATTTTCAAGTTTACTCCGTCCATAAAAGTCCCACGAGTAGGTAGGGAAAGAAGGTCAATCACGGCAGAGCCCCGCATTACTGTGACAAGGCGATGCTACGACGAGAGGGCGCCTGGTATCTTGAAGGTTCCGTAGAGACAAGTGATAGGCTCAGTGTCATTCATCCTCTCGGCACGGATACACACACCATATGATTAAGCCATCGTTGGGATGTCATTCACTTAGGGAATAACAGAACCGCAAGTGATTCTGTCATTCCCGTATCCAGCGGGAATGCACTCGCCAAAAACAGCATACACAGTGGTTCAGGCAGTGAAAGTTGAACAAAGACAGCAACCCGCCGAGATCAATGGTAAGGAGTTTGTGATCGAACCAGTCTTTTATCATCTTGATGTCTTTCTTTACTTTCTTCCTTAGGTTAAGCCAAGTATCAACCTCATAAAAAACAGCAGTGTCGTATGCAAAACATATTATCCCAAATATTATTAATGTTTATTACTATGTTCGATTTTATGTAATTTGTGAAATTCTAGTGTGGGTTATGTCGTCTTTTGGTAATGCCGTTAAATCCGCGGTAACGTGAGCGTCCTGCAAGACGAGGTAGGATAGCGAGCAGAGCTTACCGACGATATCGTGGAATTCACCACGGACTTCTAAGTAGGACCTATATAATACTATATTTAAGGAACTTTTGAAAACACTGTACGTCATGTAAGTGGAAACCATTCTGTTTGTTGTTCAGTATAAATACATTTCTATTCTATTCTATGTCAAACAGTGGTATCAGGAATCGAATTTGGCCTGTTTTCTTTCAGAATTCTCATGTGTTATTTCATTTGAAAAGTAGTTTCATTATTTTGCAAAAAAAAACAAGTTGTAGTTTCTGATTTTTTATTGTTGTTATTGACTGAAACTGAAATTACTGGAGCACACCAAAATATAAACTTATAAATCGAATATTTTGAAAACAAAAACTGTCGTATTCGAACAAAAGTTTTGAATAAAAGTTCAATATGTAATTTATAATCAATGCGTTAACTAAACTGGTAAAACAAATTTCCATTCAGCTCACATCAGATTCAACCTCAGTTCAAGAGACTTGTCAGTGACTTTTCCAAGGCTTAATCACATTTCAAAAAATAGTCAAGATTCAAAGTCATTATCACAAATATTATTTATATATATACTATACGAGTATATATATTCACTACAATAAGATAATAATTTAAACTTACACTAATTAATAAATAATTGTTTATGAAATAATTACACACACAAATATCAATAAAATAATGGAATGGTTTTCTAGTATCTCTGAGTTATTTGTCTAATCCAGTCAAGATAATGTGCCACTTTGACGTAAACTCCTGGCACGCCATTTTGCCCGCAACCTATTCCCCAACTGACCACACCTACTATTTGCCAGGTACCGCTCTTCTCGCATACCATTGGACCACCACCATCACCTTTACAAGCGTCTTTTCCTTCCTCACCTCCAGCACATATAAACCCTGGATGAAGTTTGAAGTCGTATCCTAGTCTAGTTTGCTGCAATTGCCTTTGACATATGGAATTACTGACTACCGGGACGTCAACTTCTTTTAAGATATTTTGATATTTTCCAAAATCTCCGAAAGCATCTTTACCCCATCCCGTGGTCCAGCACCTTGATCCGGTATATTCATCATGTGGATGTGGTAGGCAAGCAGGACTGATATGAGGGTGTTTAGACCAATCAACAGGTGTGTCCATACGTAAAACAGCGATGTCATTGTATAACGTTCCGGCATAGAATTCGGGATGGACATGAACAGACCCGACATTACGCTCAATGTATGGATAAAACTCTACATCGTGGTTCACGTCCCACTCTCCCAAACGGACTCTTAAATCAAAACCAGTATACCTGAAATTTGAAGTAAGGTTTAGTATTCACAATCGATATATCGGCATTTGTACACTCACGATTTGACACAATGGGCAGCAGTAATTATATGCAGAGAGTCGATGAGAGTTCCACCACAGACATAAACACTCTCTTTGGGATCCTTCTTCAGGATAGCCACTTGCCATGGATATTCCCCAAATTCGCTGTCACCATCAACGTATACGGGATTTTTGATTCGCCCGTTGATACCCTGCGAGTTTCGTGTGCCACACTGACGATTCGTACGAGGTGGTTTAGACAGTAATGGTTTCCTACAGCAAACAAAGTTTGGTCCGCATGTCTGAGAGTTACCAAAATCTCCGCTGAATTGCCGCTGTGAAACAAAAATAAAATCAATATCAATATCTCGACTCTCAGAATATCTATTTAATTACTTTACCTCGCTTATTCTATCAGATTCTTTTTGTCTGAGGTCCCGCCTTTTTCTGCTGGAGGGAAATTTAATGGGATTGAATGGGAGATTGTGATTTAGACTTTTACCACTCCTATGGGGGATATCGTCAGATGACGTCATGTCATCGAAATACGTGTTACCATTCTCCAAAAAATTTGTAGCATAGCGGGAAAATCCACTGATATATGGATTTTCATATTGTTGGAATAATTCATTATTGGCAATGGAATTGGTAATATTTCTATGAGATCTTCCAATATCATCACCGTCATAAGTGTTACCCTCATATTCTATAGGATTGTAGTAATTCGGTTTTTGAAAATGATCATGATGATACGGTGGTTCCGAGAAACCAGTGGTATACCCAACATTCGGACCAAAATAATTTGGAGCAACCTCATGATGAGAAACATGACCAGGATACTCTGATACGAACTGAGGGGAATGTTCAATCTCGTAAGGGTGGTCAATATAAATCTCGTTGGATTCGTGTCTGTGATGTTGAGGAAATTTGTGCAGATGATAATGTTTGTGTTTATTGAAAATCACTGATTTTTTGTATGACAACAGATCTTCAAATTTGTGGACAAGATAATTATTTGGAGTTACGTGAATATTGATGAAGGGTTTTATCTCTTTATTGCCATAGTCATCTTTCGTCACTTGAAGTGAAATTAAAGGATTCACAGATACCAAACCAAGATTGATACCGGTGGCCCCGATTGCACCACCATAAGGATTGATTAAAGGATTTGGGCTGTGGGGATTTATTGGATATCCACCGCCCCCCTGTTGTGGTAAACCAAAGGAAATTCCGAAAGTTGGTTTGATTTTCTTCATATCTATTGATCCTATTGATCCGTACTGACGCTGAAAAAATTCAGCTTATTTACTGTTTCCGATTTGAACGGGTTTTAGTCTATCCGACACCTTGGGCGTGTTAAAAGATAAACTGCGTACCTGTTAGCGGTGGCAATGATTCAATATTATTTTATATTTATGAAATTAGCTGTTTTAGTCCTCATAATTATCTTTTTGTCTATTTACACTCGACCCACCAATTAAAAAAAAAGAAATACTTACAGGTTCCGCGTCATGGCCATCTTTCTTCTCAACAGGAGCTTCACGTTTTCTAATAGTTCTAGTATTCACTGTACTCTTCTCAGTTGATTCTTCTGTAGAATTAGATGAATTTTCATTTCTTGCTTGAACTACAGTGGATGTACTATTGGAGTCATCTGCGAGAGCCTCAATATCAGTCTTCAAATTTCTTGGATCGAGTGGTAAATACAAATCATTTTTCCTTCCAATAACATCATGCGGAGGACACTGATCGTAGGGAACACAATAACAGTTGAACTTTTCATTTGTAGAGTAACCTGAACCTCCATACTTATTCGCATAGCCAGATTGTAAATAGTTATTAGCAGAATTGAGATTGAGTTCCTTCTTGTAGGGTCCTGAAGAACCAGAGGATCCAAAGGTTTCAAAGGATTGCACACCATAGTTTTCATTAACAGGTTTGGTGGATTGGAAGGAATTTACTCCAAAAGAAGGCCCACCATAATGGGCTAAAGATTGTCCACCATATGATTCACCAGCACCAAGCGTTGTTCCGAAAGAAGAACCACCATTTACGAAAGTATTTCCATAAAAACCGAGTCCGTTAGAAGCTGTTGGGTTGAATCCAGAATATGTTGGTTTATTCAACAATGTTTGAGAACCCAAAGAACCAAATGAATTATGGGAATTGAAAGAAGTCGAAGTGAGACCTGACGATGCTGAAACGGCAGCAGCTGATATCTGATTCGTATTTGTTATAATTGCGGGCTTATCATTACCATCGATATTATGATGATAGTGATGATGAACATGTTCGACGGAATTAGATGGTGATCCACTACCAGAACCACCTTGAGCATTGACTGTAATCTCTACCCTTTTGTCTTTGTGATGAGTTGTTTCATGCTCAAACTTATAAGGGGGAATTTCTGGTTCAATGGGTCTAAGAAAATCATTTGGAGTATTCGAAATAAACCCTGGAGGTTTGGAAAATAGTTCTGAGGTTTCATGGAATTCTCCAGTTAATCCTGGTTTACCATAAAATGGTTTGCTTGGAAAAGGAGACGAGGCGAAATGGCGGCGCGGTGGTTTTCCAGGATAAGAAGGCTGTGGCGGAACAAACTTATTGGGAGGACCATATTTCCCCGGTTGAATATAGTTTCCTGGTAATCCCGGAGCACCTGATGTAGGAAAATGAGATGAAGTGGGTTTTGAGGAACCGTAATAACTCCCCCTTGGCCCTTTCAAGGGGATTGTTGGAATTGGTTTTCCAACAGGGTTTATTGCAACGGGTTGTGCATACACAAGTTCTTCTGGAGAGATATAAGGCCGCTTTCCTTCTATGTGTTCTCCACCATCACACTGAAAATGCAAAAAATAAATGCCGCGAATTTGAGAATTAAATCTCTATGTACCTGCATGAGTCCCAGATAGCAAAGACGATCCTTAATAATGTTTCTCGCTTCTCCATCATCTCCTTTCTGCAATGCCATCTGTACATTAGGGTCACTGTATACTTCATCAAATCCATCTAATGCTCTACCTTCTCTGGTAGACGTGAGAAGTTCATCGACAACATTTTCGATAGTTGTTGAATTCAATAGAATAGAGCTTTCCACAAATTCACTAGGAGATGTTTCGAAATCATCAAGAACTTTTATATCGCGATCCAGTCTATCAAGCGGCTTAATATTGGAGTCTCTTGTTTGATCCGTCCAAGACCATGAATTTTCAAGGGAGTTGATGCAGTGGAGACAAAAAATTGTCACCAGGTTGACGGTGATCCACATATCTGAAAAATTAGTTTGAGTTCAAAATTGCTTAGTTCACGAAAAATATTATGTGTCACAAATATTAGTGGAGTTTTATCCCAACTCCAAACCGTTATTTTAACAACTCGACACCGGTGGGTTGGGCTATCTATCGGACGCGACTCCAAGTAGCGGATAGGGGAACGGCCAGGGGACTGGGGACCCTGTCCGGGAAGCCACTATGTGGCCTTACGGAGGGGATCGCCGGACTCCTGGTCAGTGGCAGAAATAAGTAGAGTGAGGGGAACTAAAACTCCCCAAAAGCATTTGCGAAACACGCCAACGTACACAAGCTAAGGTGTAAGGAATCGTGTCCCTAGGGGAACCGGGCGGTACCTCATTGTAATCAGCCTTTCTCTGGTAATGTGGGGCTCTACCAGAGGTGACCAACTCTTCCATTGCTACTCGTGTGAACACACATGTATGTAACAAACAAAATAGACACAACAAAAACCAATCCCGAGGCTGGACAGAAGTGCTTACTTCAATCTATGGTGGTGGCTGGGGATGAACAGAAATGTCCTCCTCAATCTACCGCTCGGAATGAGGCTGGACATAGCAGATCACCTCGTAATGTAATACAAAGGCTGCGCATTTGCGGCGCCGAGGCCAAAAGAAGAAAGAGAGCAAAAGTGGCAGGAGTGGCAGCAACTATAAGTGCACCCTCCTTCTCCCCGTCACCACCTCCAACAGCAAGGACACTTCTTGCGGCGGGCGCCAAGAGCTCCGCCTTGAATAAAGGCAAGGAACCGGATGTCCCTGCAGGAAAGCGCCCTCACTTGAACACCTCCACTAGGGGAACCCCAGGAAGGTTGAAGAAGCCGCGCAACTACAGTAATGTCGCTGCACCTTCCAAAACATTCGCGGAGGCCGCCGTGAGATACCTCAAGGTTGCCAAAGAGAGTGTGTGTTCGGCGAGTCTTGGTCTACACCTGCCGATATAAAGGAGATGTTTCCTATGAACACTTCTATTAGGGGAACCCCAGGAAGGTTGAAGGAGCCGCGCAACGACAGTAATGTCGCTGCACCTTCAAAAACATTCGCGGAGGCCGCCGTGAGATACCTCAAGGTTGCCAAAGAGAGTGTGTGTTCGGCGAGTCTTGGTCTACACCTGCCGATATAAAGGAGATGTTTCCTAGTGACCTGTCCAACTTTCTGGAAAGGACAGGATGGACGATGGCCTAGGAGGACAACTCCTTGGGAGGATGTACAAAGGGTCACATGTAGCCTACACTCACCCTCCCTACTATATACATACATACAACACCTCGACGCGTGTTTCGATCACCAAGTGATTATCTTGGTGATTGAAACACGTGTCGAGCTGTTAAAATAACGGTTTGGTATTGGGATAAAACTCCAGTAATATGCATTACTACATCAAAGGTTCCAAACAGTGCATCACAAAATTATGTGTCACCACAATTGATTATTGAATTTTGAACTTCATGATGAGAGATTTTGGAAGCAGTCGTATGTTGGAAAGCTTTTGCAGTATTAACTGAAAAGGAAGCTTCATAGCTATCAATTTTTATGTGAAACGTTATATTGTATTTGCCTGTATTTGATTCATAAGTATCTAGTTTTACAAACAAGTTTCAGACTTATCAACTGAGAAGTGTTTTCATAGTATTTTTGTCAATAAGTACGTCATTTATTTTATACATGAGCCGATTTCAATAAATCGAACATAAGTGAAAGTAAAATACTCTAATATTTTAGAAAAACTTCAGTGTAATACAATGTTAATCAGCAAACTCACCCTAATTGTAACTGAAAGTAATGACGTTCATAATTTTCATGAAAACTTTCAAAAACTGTACTTTCAGTAGAATATGTACTGAAATATTGAAAAATAAGAATTGTATTCCATTGGAGTTTTTCTGAAATATCAGTGTTTTTACCTCAGTGATGTTTCTAGATTTGAAATATTATTTTCATTGCAGCCCTAAAGAAGCTGGAAACCATCACCGAAACGTTGGATTTAAAAAATCTGAATACAGATGAGTAGGGTATTTTTAGGCCTACTTGCTCGTGCGAGGACATTATACCATTGGACGTAAGAAATCTTATCATAAAATGTTAGTGAGATCAACACTTTTATCATATGTTTTGATAATTTCTGAGTAACCCACGAAGATGAATGGCGCTGTCATTGTGTGAAAACAGGTTTTATTATTTGGAGATAACTGTTGTTCAATTTTGCACTGAATGTTGTACTCATATATAAATAAAAAATGTTTTCTAGTATTTGGAACTGTTTTCCAATAGCCACATTATCAGAACAATTTCGTCTACTTTGAGTTTTCTCGAAAAGAAGTGTCACTCTTAGGAAACTATCTAAAAATCGTACTCAAGGATCTATCCTTGGGCCCTTGTTTTTTAGCCTATACATCTGCGATTTTTATCAGTTTGTTAAAAAATGCAATATACATGCCGAATGCACGCAGTTATATTTCTCTTTTCCGCCTCGTGATTTTACCTCAGCCCAGTCATATATAAATAAGGATCTTCACGCCATCTTTGACATTTCTACAGCCCATAAGCTCAAGCTGAATCCTAATAAATCCGCAATAATGATATTTGGACCCAAGAAAAATAGAAATAGTTTCAGTTGACATGTCAAGATGACTGCCACTGAAGATGACTGCCGCAGTTGCAGTCGAAACGTTTGGAAATCATCACCAAAGAAGACCACGGCAGAACCCGGAAACCATCCAAGACAATTTTTTTCACAATTTTAATTTTGAAAATTTATATTTTGGTTCAAAATAATTGTCAATTTTTATGTTTCTCCTACAGTAATAAAAAAGTGAATATGATTCATACAATAGTTTCTCGCTTGTAGTGCAAGTTTAATGAAAATATACCACAACATTTAAAAAAAATCAGAGCGAAGTGATTAAAATACTAACCTGTATAAATTCAATTCACTTTCATTCAAAACCAATGATCTCACAGTAATGAAGAAATTATTTCAACCGTTATTCTGTTTTATAGATTCCCTCCACTTGAGACGTAGGCTGCCACTTTCTATGAAAATGCAAGTGTAAGTGAAGATGACGAACTCGCCGAGGTTGGTTACCCAACAGACGTTTATATTCAATATACTCGAGTTCAAGGTACTCCGTGTGGGGTTGTTGAGAAAGAGTTTTAAGAATTGTGTTCATTGCATATTGAAGCGGAACTCGACCATTAAGTAACAATTTGGGTTTTTCTTCGTGTTTCAGGCTCTTCAATGTTGAACGTTCTTTCTCAATAAACGACATTTGATTTCATACTAGAATCAGTAATACTGAATGTTTTGGTGAGTCTGCGGAACATATCTGAATATGTCATATGAAATAGTTTACTTTTAACATGAATGATACCAAATGTTTTTGTTATTTACTTTAAAAATATATAAAAAATTATTTGAAATAGTAAATTAATAGTTTCGGATTCAGCAGAAGATTTCGGTGCATCCCAGAGATAATGTCAAACAGTTCTCTTATCTGCCACAGTGTACTAAAAAACTTATGTATTACAGGTTAATTTAGAATTTTGGTTTATTCATTTTTTGATACAAAATAACCATTAGAAACGCCTTTACATAACAAATTCTACATTTACTTTTCTGAACAATGAAGGAAAAGTTTCAAGATTGAATTTTTATACCCGTTTCACAATAAACTCTTAGTTTGAATTGAAGGGGTTACATTTTTAGGAGTGATTAGTTTTTGGAGTATCAAGATGGAGTAGTGGAAAGCCAAAAACTTTCTTTCCCAAAAAAACTCTTAGTATTCATGGAAAATTCATCGGAAGAACATCCTGTTCTATGTATTGTCAAGAGTTTCAACTTTTGCTTCAATCGTGTAATTTTCATTCAACCCTAATTCAATAACGTTCAACTGTATATAATAAATTGAGTTTAGCAACATCATGATAAAGACAACATATGCTATTTATCGATTTCATAAATAAGAATATTCAGGATTGTTTAATTCGAGTAAAATTATGAGGAAGTGTAAATATGTTATTCGAGAAATTTTATAGAGGGATTACAAAATTCACCCTTTCCATTGATAGAATAAGGCTAACTGTTAGTGAAAAATCAAAATTGGATATTATTTCCCTGTACTACACATATGTTGAAATTTTTCTTTTATTTGATTTTTGAATGAAAGAAGTTCAATTAAACAATATTTGTAGATTTTAGTAGTGATAATATGAAGGTAAGTATAACATCGCATCTATTGTTTTCATAAATGAACTTATTCGAAGTTATTTCGAGTGGAATTACAGGATGTATAAGTATTCGAAATTTTTTATTGGGGATGAGTATGTATCGAAATAGAAAAATATTTTTATTCGAAAGATAATTCTATAAATGACAGGTACATGACCTATATCTGTTTCATTTATATTACAAAACTTCCTCTTTCAGTTGATCAATTGATCTTCAATCGTATTTTATTCAATATACTTTTAATTAGAAAAACATTTCACATCAATCAAGTTCATATTTATCATCAGAAATTGCTGTTAATTGAAAAATAATGCGACATCCAAGATTGAGTTATAAGTCACATGTTTTTGGCTTCTGATAGAATCCGAAAGACTCCCAAGACCACTCCGAATATATTTAAAAACTTTCCTGATTATACATATTTTTCTAGTTGGTGTATTTTTACGAATAGAAATAAAATAAATATGAAGATAAGAATAGATGAGAAAGTAAGGTAATGTAATTTTTCATTAACTTTTGACCAATTCAAAGTCTCAACAATTTCAAATTAGTATCACTCGAAGTAAACTGTAAACAAAACGCACTTTTCTATATATTACCGCGAAACTCAAATCATTCTGGTTGATTAAATGCAATATGAGCAATAAAACCGACCAATAAAGAGTATTCCTAATAACTATTAACATTCTCTCAAAGCTGTAGCGATCAAAATACTAACCTGGTTAATTCTAATTCACTTTTTCCAAAAACCACAGATCACACTGAAATAATTATCTAACTGTTATTCTGTTTTATAATACACTCCCTCCGCTGAAGACGCACGCAGTCACTTTCTACGAAAGTGCAAGTGTCGAGTGAATATGACCAACTCGCTGAGGTTTCTTACCTAACAGAGCTATATATGCGAACAAACTTGAGTTCAAGGTACATCCTAAAAGAGGGACTATTGAGAAAGAACTCAAAAATTGTAAGTTGGAACGGATCTAAAGTTAAGTAACGACTGGGTTTTTCTTCGAAGTCTTATTTGATTCACATGCAAAATTTTTGATGAACATTATTCCATTACAGGAACGTGTCATGGCCGACTTGAAGAAACTTTATTTCGGATTTTCGTTTTACTGTATTCCTCGAATTATGTTGCCAGAAAATACGTAGAATGTAATACATTCTGTCGACCCAAAATAAGGTTCCACTACCAAGTAATGATTCTGTTTCGTCATAGCTCAGAAGATGCTAGTAGAGGAAAAAATATGCTAATACTGTTTCCTCATTAACAATGAAAAAAGACTCTGAAACAAAATAGTTCCAATGTTCAATCCAGTTCAATCAGTTACAAATTTCATATATAATAATCATAATAACTGTATTCAGAGTAAAAGAGAAATAAATAAAGCTAAGAGGCTACACGATTGATGTGAATAAAATACTGTGAGGATAAGTGCAAGCACTTTTGTTTCTCATAAACAAAGTACCTACAAGTAAATAACAATATGGGAATATAATAATACAGATGTAAGGATATTGTAGAAAATGTGATAATATATGAAAAGTACTATGCAAAAAATTGAAGATTAGAAGAGGAAAAAGATACAAAAATAAAAATCATGTGTATATGTAAAATGTAAAGATGTAAAAAACAGATATAGTAGGTAATGCTACAATAAATCCAATCCAATTAAATAGGTACTACAAATATAATACATGATATGGAATAGAATACAATGAAACAAAATATGTCATACAGTTAAATACAATAGAATACAATAGACAATCGAGAAGAATATATTTTGTAAAGGAGAATCATGAAATACAAATCAAATAACAGAATTTAGCTTATTACAAGAGAGAAGGAAAAAAACACCCCAAAAGTACTGTTTTGTTCCATTCTGTTCATAAAAGAGGACATATGCCTTCTCACTCACGAGCAATTTTGGTGAAATTGGGGACACGTGTGAATCATTGTATTCATTCCACGTGCCACTATAAGGGTGTCTGCGATATGCTGTGTAATGCCCGTTGTAAGTAGTTCCACTGTGATTCGAAAGTGCATATAGATTGTAACGACAAGGAGCCACATTGTCTGCTGCATAATTTCTCATATCTAATCCTTCTAAAGAAAACTCAATGACAACATTCAATTTGCTTCTGAATCTTTCCGTTGGAGAGAATATTTTTAAATGAATTGTTAAAATATGGGGAAACTTATGGATTGATAGGGACTTTGTGCGTTTTCTTCTTTCCTTGCATTTTGAACAGGTTGGTTTTTCATCTCCATTCAGGGTTTCCTCTTTTATGAAGAAATCCAAGCATTGTGACAAACTCAATTGGCCAGTTCTTTGTGGTAAAGGGAGAGACAAATCCCAGAAAGGATCGAAGGTTACTGATGAGAATCCACAGTGTGCACTTCATAGTAGATTTCAATTGACCAACGAAATTGTCTACTATCTTAGAGTTGTTCATGTTCAAGTATCTCAGCCAGGACTCTTGCGCTTTTTCGCTGTCGCTCAATTTTTCGTCAATCTCCGTTAAGATCGGTTTAAGTTTCTCAGTAATTCCATTGAGGTCCTCATGTAAACCTTATAAAAGATATCGAAGGAATTCCTGGGCGTCTTGATGGGAAGATCCCATGAATCGAGGGGCAAATCTTTGAATCTGGCTTTTAAAGTAGGCAGTGTTTATCAGATGAAACTTCTGACCACAATTCCTTGATAACTTCTGCGAACGCTTTGCTTAAAGCATCTCTCATACTAGAAATACTAGTATTGATATCATCCATGTATGTATCCGTTTTTAAATATTCCAGCAACCATCTCGTATTTGATAAACATTGGATTATACTGTTCATGAAACAGGTGTTTCAAAATATTTTTCAACCCATTGAACCTAAGAGTTTCGACTGAAGAATATGTCTCCGATCTAATGTAACTGCTGATACTACGTTCGCCACTGCTGTCTTCTTGTGAGTAATTACGGAATCGATGTGTTACCCCTTCAATGGATCGGTAGGATAAGGAATTAGAAGCTATAAACTGCCTAAAAGTGAGTTGGATATGGCAGGCGTTTTGAATTCTACGACTTGTTCATGTTTCTCTCTATCTTCTGATGGGAAATTGTGGGGAGTATCACAAGGAATATGGGAGGTTTTATGAGGAAATAACCTTCCATCGTGACTAGGGTGTAAATAGGATTTGGAAATAAAGGAATGAAGAAAAATTTCATCCAGTGAATGTGACGATGGGATGGTGCCAAAAACAGAAGCTGAATTACCACGCTTTATAGCTAAACTAATTATTTGAATCAGAAAGGTGGTATATCTTTTTTCTTTAGTTTCTTCAGTCATTTTTCTGCCGATTGCATTAACAAACTTCAGAGATAAGTGCCCAAATAAACCGAAAGTTTCTACAGCCACAGGATAAAATATAAAGTTGTTTCCAATATTTGAATATTTCTGCTGTTTTGCTTTCTCACTGGTTATGGCAGCAGCACCTGCATTTTTGGATGTTCCAACTAAATGAGACGGAGCCAATGTGTCCGCACATGTGAAATCCCAAACGGAATGGTAATAGAATGTAATCTATGAGTCTGCAGTAAAAAAAATGTTTGAAATGGGATTTGAAAGTTTTTTTTGTTGAGAATAGATTTCATGCTTCCAGGGATGGAGTTATACATTTTAGAGCCAATATAGAAGCAGCTCCTCTGTGATAGTGATTTTTTAAATAATGGGTGAGTAAGTAGTTTGCGCCCTCTGGTCATGTACTAATGACTGGGATGAGATGCTTTATCAATACCGAAATGATATGGATACTTTGTATATCAACATTTATGTTTATGAAGGGTAGAAATTTAGTTTTTTTGAGATTCATGGTTAGGTTAGGTTAGGTCTAAAGTGAATGGGTCTATTCGACCTTCCACCGCAACCCGCAAGGGTTTATTGTGGCTCACACCTATTCACACTCGACCAAATAAACCCAGCTTCTTAACGATTAGTTTGTATGGTGAGTGATCTTTCAGGTCAGATGATAAAAGTTCGGCTCTGTCGAACTCTAAAAACCTGATTCGGTCCCCAACGGGGCAGGCACAAAGTATATGCTTTGCTGTTTCATCGTTAATGAGGTAGTCGGATAGTCAAGGTGCAAGATTCCCACATTGATACCTGCGACAACCTTTCCATATATGACGGGGTTTGTTTCTTCACCTAAGACAGATTCTGCGTACGCCGCTTAAGAATTTGGTGCAAAGCGGTTTTATAAGGTACCCCGCTCTTGAGGAGACGACTCAGTCGTTTCCTGGCTGCACCACCAAACCTTTTTTTTTAGGTTCAGTTATTGGATCAGGAGTTGGGGAGTTGAGAAGCTCTCGCTCCTGAACTAAATTTACAGGGAGGCCAATTAGAGTCGTAAAATCGACATCCATCTCCTCTGTAGACTCGCTCCTGATCTAAATTCACAGGGAGGTCAGTTGGAGTCGTAAACTCAACATCCATCTTCTCTGTAGACTCGCTCCTGAACTAAACTTACAGGGAGGTCAGTTAGAGTCGTAAACTCGATATCCATCTCCTCTGTAGACTCGCTCCCGAATTAAATTTACAGGGAGGTCAGTTGGAGTCGTAAACTCGACATCCATCTCCTTTATAGACTCAGCGTCAGAAATAATTTTTGAGTTTACTCTGTCCATAAAAGTCCCACGAGTAGCTAGGAAAAGAAGGTCAATCACGGCAGAGCCCCGCATTACCATGACAAAGCGATGCAACGACGAGAGGGCGCCTGGTATCTCGAAGGTTCCGTAGATACAGCTGATAGGACCAGTGTCATTCATCCTCTCGACACGGATACACACCATATGATTAAGCCATCGTTGGGATGCCATTCACTTAGGGAAGTGCAAGTGCAAGTGCAAGTGATTCTGTCATTCCCGTATCCAGCGGGGCTACGTGGAAGCAGGCATCCGATGGCTGGTTTGCTCAACCCCCACATCCCAAGCCAATGCACTCGCCAAAAACAGCATACACAGTGGTTCAGGCAGTGAAAGATGAACAAAGACGGCCACCCGCCGAGATTAATGGTAAGGAGTTTGTGATCGAACCAGTCTTGATGTCTTTCTTTACTTTCTTCCTTAGGTTAAGCCAAGTATCAGCCTCATAAAAAACAGCAGTGTCGTATGCAAAACATATTATCCCAAATATTATCAATGTTTATTACTATGTTCGATTTTATGTAATTTGTGAAATTCTAGTGTGGGATATGTCGTCTTTTGGTAATGCCGTTAAATCCGTGGTAACGTGAGCGTCCTGCAAGACGAGGTAGGATAGCGAGCAGAGCTTACCGACGATATCGTGGAATTCACCACGGACTTCTAAGTAGGACCTATGCTCTGCCCTTTTTCTGAAGAAGCTGGGTTTGTAACGGATCCCAGACTGGGAGCTAGGTGGATCGCATATGTTCCCTCGACCAGATGGCAACTTTTGCATCTGACATTGAGCCAGTTTCCATGGCTGGTACCATAATACCTCCACCAGAGATTCCTGTGCCGAATGTTTAGATAGCAACTTCTTTCCAACCCTCCGGCAGCGAGATGGAGCTCCCGATGTCGCAGAAGTGCTCGGATTCAGTCGAAGCCTGTCACTTTCAACTAGGCAGAATTGTCGAGAGGGGAAGGCAAATCTGTTGGCAATCCGGGGGAGTTATCAGAGAATGGCGGAGGTTGCGGTTCGTAAGCGACGACTGGAGGTTTGTCGTGCGCAGATAGTCGAACAAAAAGGCGTTTCCTGGCTGAACTTGTGGAGTTGGAGATCGGCCTAGAGAAGAATGGTCGAGAAATCGTCGGAGTCGATGAGGAGTACTACGTTGAGGGTGAATCAGCGAAATAGTGCCG